TTGGCTTCAAACCGAGCATAGGAGGTGTTGAGCTCGTTAGGCAGGGAGGCATCGTGGGCAGGTGCACAGATGTTCTTCCTCTTGTAGTCTGTGAGGGCCTGTATATCTTGCCACATATGCCTTATATACTCAAGTATCTGTGTATCTGGCCGTTTAAGGGTGCTACTTGTGTTGATAAATATAATGTCATCATATAGCATTGTAGAAACTATGGCTGTTGTCTTGTAATGTATTCTACATTGTGGAATAGACATGATATAACAGGTTTACAGGTCACCTCTGCAAGGTCACGTACTATTGTGCTTTCAGAGCTGTGTGGCTTGCATCTGGAGCCGCTGCTACCAGCAGACGCCAGAAGAGGGCAATAGAGAATATTGGACACAACTTTAATTATGGATGCACAACCTAATTTAGGGGGATGTCTGCGATATGATTAAAGCTATAAATAGGGGTATTATTTATGTCGGCTTCTGCATAGGATTTCACTTCTTTTTGTTGTGTTTTTCAGTCTGTGTGTGTTCAAGTGTGTTTGGAGATCATTTTAAGCTTTGGAATAGTGACAGTGTGCTTATTATTGTGTGCATCTGTAATTTTTGTGTGTGATGTATAGCATGGACTCCTGCCAGGGGGTCTTATTGAATCTACTGTGTCATCTTTTATGGGTCCAGTGTTTCAGGCCAGATATCTGTCCGTCGGCTACCTGTGTGGCCACCCCACTGCCTGTTCGTCACAGTGTCTGTACGTCTTTTTGCAGCGACAAAGGGGTGGACAGCTGGCTGGCCCGCTTCTTGTGGTGTTTCCAGACCTTCCTGTTCGGAATGTTCTCCTTGTCCCTCTTGCTGAAGTACAAGCCTGACTCCCGACCCAAAAGACAATAAGGACGACTACACCTGGGCCTAACCTTCATCCCCTCGTACCGGAGAGCAGCCTGGCAGGACATTCACTCACCTCTCTGTTTCTGGTAGCGTGAGTCGAACGGCTCTGGGCCGCTCTGTCTTACCAGGAATAAGTTGCTTGCTGATAATGGAGGGATGTGTAGGGTTTAGCCCCCGAGAGGGTTGGGAGATGGGATTGGCTGGATTGAAGATTTCCAAAAGTCAGCAAATTTGCCTCTTTTGAAATGAACAAGAGCCCTTTGGATCCTTGAATGCACGCATGTCCCTGCTGTGCATGATGGGATTGATTGCACATTAGGTTTCGACATTGAAATGACCTCTATGGCAAATAGGTGTCACCTTTAAAGAACCAGTCCTTTCTTCCTTTCCAGTCCAGATATATCCTATAATTCTAAAAAATAGTGTAATGAAAGCATGCAGGAGCACATTCCCATATGTTTTGTGCTGCACCACTACAAAATGAAATAGGACATTCAAGGAAAACAAAAAAATTAACATCTTTCATGTTGCAAAAAAAAAACTTCGGCCTTCCAAGTTGCATTTAAAAAAAACCCCGAAGTCTTAGTTTTTTCCCCTAATATCTGAAAATGCAATGAAAAGAAACTTGTTACTGGACAGTAAATTTCACTGCAGTCAAAGCCTGTGAGCGAGTTGTGTGCTTCTGAATGATATGTGCATTGCGGTGATTTTTAAAAGCACTCTTCACCCCAAACGAGGGCGCACTCATGCTGTTTCCCGCTCCAGGTGTGGCAGTTATAATGGAGTTTTTCTTGTTCTAACTGCCTTTTAACACATTCCAACAAGATGATGTAATAAGACAGTTTTCTTCAAAATCTTGGAAGGAGCTTTTTTAATGCTAATGATGCCTAAAAAAAGTAGCATTGATTCCTGTACTAGCAAATTACTTAACTCTAAAGTAAAAACACTGCTGCAATTGCACATATATTACGCTTTTAATATTTGTTTTATGCTATATTTGGCAGTAAAACATATGGAACTCTGAAGACCATATTTAAGTTCTAAAAATGAGGAGCCACACAAAGAGTGAAATCTGACTTGAGCTTTTCACAGAAATACTTGAATTCCTTTTGCTGTTAATAAGGATCTTTTAATACATTTTGATTACGGTTTGAAAGACAAGAGGAATGGCAACAGAGAAACACTAGAAATAAAAAGTGAAGCATTCAACATTCCAAAAAATTTCAAAAGCTTAAAAGAACAGAAGAGGAGTGGGCTAGATCCAGCTGTGTTGTTGCTGCTGTATGGTCTCTGCTCACACAAAATCCACCTCAATGTACCGTGCTCCAGTACTCCAGTAGAGTTTCAAAATGTCAAAGAAACTTTGTTTCTTGGGGCTTGTTAAGGCCTGCACTGTTCTTAGATAAATACAGCTGACTGTGTACATGCTCTTACCCTGCTATATGAAGGATACATACCTGCTTTTCCCTTTAATTCTTTAATAAAGAGTGATTAGACTTTCTCTTAGCCTCTAATTGTGTTCTTAAATCTCTTGCCTGATTGTCTGATTGCGGTATCATAATCTAACTATGCCACAGAACTGAATTAGGTGCCAGTACACATACAACTATATCTGACAGGTAGTATGTAAAATGGCAATTAATACCAGTACAAAATTGTTTGTGATGGCAACAAAACAGAACCCTATTGTTTTAAAATGAGCAGTCTTAAAGCAGAGATTACGTGTGCAACACAGCATTAGACATGAAGGAGCAGATGCAGATACAAAACAGTATCAAGTGGCTTGCTCTTTATCATCATTTAGGGTCTGATGCAGCAGGCTAAAGAGTGTATTAGACATGTGAAGGGCAGTGGACAGGAGTGCTCATTATATACTTGTTAGGTTCTCTTTATAATGCTCATTAGGACACTGTTTGTCAAGGTGTGTCGGATAGATAGGTTGGTTCAGTGACCACATTTCCTCCATTTCTCAGATTGATTATTTAATCAGGAAGCACTGGTTTTGCTTTTCCTTAACCTACCACCACTGTCGTGTGAAACAAGCTTAGTGTCCCCGTTACCCACAGTGCTTTTTCTGCAACACAAGTGGTAAGGAAAGGAGGATGTTTCCATTTTTGCATCTTCCATAAATCAGCCCAACAGCTGTATAATAAGACTAGCTACATTAAGAAGAAAAGACTCTGCTATTGCCCAGAAACATTTGTCCACTAGAAAAGCATAGAAAAGGAGCTTGGATTTATCTGAAACTTTCCTTTTAGTCTGTATACATGCTGAGAGGAAATTAGCTTTTTGGGAGAGAGGAAGCGAGGCAGCAGACAACAGAGAAATTCTATTTTTTGATAAATATTTTGGTCAACTGCATTTGTTTCAGCAGCCAGGATCAGTGCATATTACTGCCTGGATTAATGGTATTTCATTTGTATACACTCCATTATTCGTCCCATGTCAGTAGGAAAGTTGGAAAGTGATGGAGTGTAAGTGAGAAGTGCCTGTTGCTAAAGGGAGTACTTACTGCTGGACAAGGGCCATCAGACAGACAGGGTCAGCCTGTCCTTTGCTAATGAACTTAGGGAATTATCTGGCCCTAATCACCCGAGTCTGCTGCAGCACTGTCTCCTATCGTTAATCAAGAGGCTGTTATCTTGAACACTGAGCTAACACTTTCATCTCCGCCCTCACTCTCTCTCCAGCGCTCAGGATAAGAAGATCAGTGCTGACGATGGAACCCTGGTGGGCGGTGGGAGTGGGGCACCTCAGCTCTACAGATAGGATAGGAGGCTTTTCTGAGACAAAAGCAGAGCGGACTTCTATCAGTCCGTGTTCTAAGTTCTGCCAATTCAGGCTCACGGAGAACTGGAAACTATCCCAGCATGCAACAGGCTCATGCCAGGGACACTCTGGATTGCAGTCCATCACAGAGCAAATGCAGACACAAGCACACACTCACATCAGAAGCCAATTAACCTATCAGTATCACTATGGACCAGATGAAATCCACATGAACAGGGACAACACACAAACTCCATGCAAATAGCACCCCGGGTCTGGATCCAGGCTTTAGTTTTGTTATTAAAATGAGTCTGTTCTGTAGCACAGTGGTGTAATGGGTAGTATTGCTGCCTATCTGGGCACCCAGGACCCAAGCAATAACAGGCAGCACTGTGCTGCCATAACAGACTCATTTTAATAACAAAACTAAAGCCTGTATCCCCTGCAAAGCAAGATTCACTTTGTCCGTGTAGAATAATCAGCAATTGTGAATTAGTGAAAACAACAGCTTGTTTCAGATTTTCAGTCTTAGCTCTGACTTTTCTGGTTGAACAAATTATTTGCTGAACAGTCAATAAAAGTTCAATATTCTTGTCAATTTCATAATTTCAACAGCACTACACTAGTTACATCTGCTTTACATGACTAGATCAAAAACACTCAACTCTAACTCTGGCCAAAAGACACGACACTCAACTCTAACTGCTGTATTGATGTTTTGCACATTAGTAAGTGCTGTTGCAATATTAAGAGAACCTGCATACACTAATTGTGCCCTTGCTGTTTATGAGGTCTCATTGATTTGTTAGGTATTCATTGATTGAGATAATTTTGTAAAATGCAAAGTTTTACAATGTTGTGCCTTTAAACTACTTTTGCAAAGAAGAATAAAATGTTTAAAATAACACTAACTGGAGCAATGCAAAAATTGAGTGATGCAAAGATTCCTATTGATATCTCGCGTTGATTGCTTTATTGTGATTCAGGAGTATTTACCTGTTTAGAAATTACAAGTATTTAAATCAACCAATTACAACATCTCACAAAGAATATAAAATCACATGTGGAAACATGCACAACATTCTCATTTGGAAAATTTCCCTGTAAAGTACTGCAGCCATTTGACTTTTACTTAGTCAAAGTTATTTTCAGTTTTTTTACCTTTGAAGGTGACAGGTTGAAACCCTTGACAAAAACAATTTACAGAACACTTTTTTCCCCAAGCACAGTGATTTTTTTAATAGCCTACAACATTCAAACTCCTTTAGAAACAAAATGTATATACAGTATTTCAGAAACACAAGCTTTAATGACAAATATTATGTTACAAATATCAATATTTAGCTCCTGTGTGCGTAGACTTGAGCTGTTCAGAGGTGCGGACAGTCTGTACTTTTTGTGATGCCTGATAAGGCATTTTGAAAATTACATTGCAGGAAAATGACTCATACACCACAATACATGTCAGGGCTGTGTGTGTAGCTGTACTGTTATTCTGGACTAAGTGAATGAAACTTGTCTAGTGTTTTTGATCAAAGGCGCTGCACAGTGAATGACAGTATGTGATGCAGTATAAGTGAATTAATTACTGGGTTGTGGATGCTGCCTGTGTGTGTTATAAGAGGTGCAGTATAAGAGGTACGCCAGTGGCCTCTGTAGTCACCGATCTTGCCAGCGCAGAGTAGCATAACGCTCTGACAGATTACTGCGCAGTTGAGCTGTTTGGGACTTGTCCCTGGTCTCCACGACACACGACACCTAAGGCAGACACAGACAAGTCAGACAGACAGAAACACATGATGGTTTGGGCAGGCACACTGACAGCTCTGAGAACGGTTACGTTAGATAGGCCTGTGATTCAAATGGACAGGTGAAAAAGACGGACAATGCAAACAGACATACAGGTCAGCCAGATACACAAATTCAAAACACAAGTATGACACTCAGACAGTTCAGTCCGATGATCCAAATAGACACATAAATAGGCCTATCTGGTACCAGAGACTGACACAAACTGGTCTCTCTGACACTTGAGACAGATTCATCACGAGGGAATGCAGATGAAGCTGGTAGGAAAATTCCTTTTTTGTTTTCTGTCCTTCAGTCCAGCCAATCAGAAACAAATCACAACCTTTTGATGGGCTCAACAAGTTCTTAATGTAAAGTTGAAGGTTCTGGCACCAGCAGGACAGCACAGAGTAGTGGGAAAGCCTCTGAGACCATAAAACGTGTCTGTCTTTTGGTTCCTTGTGTCTTTAGCCCATTTCTCCAGTCCACCCAGCTGTAAGTAGGGATGTGCATAGTTGAGTTCAAATTCATAGCTGGGGAGAATCACATGCTCTCCATTTGCCAGGTAACCAGGAAGAGCTCTAGGCCCGTAAGCCACTGTGCTCTGGTACAGACTTTACCTCCTGGCATAAGCGTTCATGTTAGTGTAACTTCACTCTCCTGCCTGATGTAATTTCATACATAACGAAATATTGAAAGGAACATTTTATTGTGAGCATTTGTAAGGTGAATCTAAAGGCATTGATCTTTCTGGAGATGACCTAAAAGATTACTTGTTTTATGAGCCTTTATCCCAATCAGATTCATTTTATGCTAAATCGTGTTGTCATGTTGTTATATTGTAGAAGAAATCAGTGGTAAACTGCACTTAAACCATTTCACCACAGTCTCTTTTGGGGTCATTAAAACTGGTGAAGTTCTGAAGATAACTAGGGCTGGAGCTGAAGAGATTTTGAGTAAATCCTGGACTACCAAGATTTCCTCTTACCTGACCATGGAAGAGATCTGTTGCACCTATCTGGGCCTCATGTCGGATATCCAGCAGACTGAGAGAGAAAAAGAAAAAGAGAAAAAGGGGTTAAGCAAAAGTAAGATATTTAGATAATCAATAAAACCTACAGCCATATACTTTGATTTGCACAGGGAGCTGAAATATCAGTTTCTTTGTTCAGGGCATTTAAAAGCCAAAAATAGGAGGTTAATTGGCCCAGTCAGTGATTAAAGCAAAGCTCCTGCGCTCTGCCCTGAGCTCTTTGTGCTGTATTGAGTGAGTTACATAACTTCCTTCTGCCCTGCCTTTTGAACGAAATAAAACAGTACTTATTATGAGTCACCCAACTCGGAAGCAGTTGTTAAGACAAACGTCACTCCCTAGGCACCGTAAGTCACTGCAGACAAAAGCTTCCACTATATGATTAATATTTAATGAATAGCTTTGCAGTTGTGCTCAGTGATCTTCAACCCACGTCTGGCCCACCCATCTGTATGTGTAAAACGACACAAAGGCAAACAGGATGTAAGGATGAAGTGTGAAAAGCAGAATTGAACTAAAGGACATTAATGGCACCTCGTTTAGCGTTGACCAAGTTTGGTTGCTACAATACAAAAAGTACATTGCTGTCCTAGAATCAAACACTGCAATGTCTTTTTTGTATCAGTTCAAGAAGGATGACAAGGTGGGGATGTCTTACACAAACAGGTTAAAGGAACAGCAACTCACAAATCCCCTCACATTGGATACTGTGAGGAGACCTGATGAAAATATTTAAAATCGTGAATAATACTGACAAAGTCAACCTTGAGGACTACATTTATACGTCAGGAACAATAGTGAAGAATACACATGTAAAGAATGTGTGCATTGAAGACTGAAAGTAAAAGGTACTTCTTTACAAAAAGAGTTGTGGGGGGCCGCAACCAATTGTCCATCCATGTTTTTGAAACACATTTTCAGGGATCTTTAGGTCAAGAAATGCCTACAGATCCGATCCTTGGATCATTGAATTATGAGCAAAATGGACTAAATGGCCTCTGCTCATTTGTATTTTTGCTAATGATCATGCATTCAAACTATAATTTCATTTGACACCATCATTGACCTGGGCCCAAATGGAGCCATGATTGTAGTTACATTTGGTTTTCAAATTTGAAACTTTTAAGCATTAGCACGGCCTTTTCAAAATATTTCTAGAGCATCTGCTCCTCTGTTTGTGAATATCCTCTCCCCTTTCTGCCGTGGCAAGTTCTTGGCCTTTGGATTAGGGGTGCGTTTCTCCCTGCTGCGGATGTCACGATATTAGGTACTGTTCACAGTCCATCTTACTCAGAAAAACAGGGACACGATATCTCACCTCACATCCTCCCTAGCCAGGAGGTCCAGGAGTTTGGCCAGGTCCCCGGGCCCCCGCCCCAGCTGCACTGTGAATTTGTTGACCCGGGAGTCCAGAGCCAGGGCTCGGTCCACACACTGCCTCATCAGGTCCAGCTCCATGTTAGCACTGCTGACCAGCACCGCCACTCTGGGTCAGAGAAGGAAAAGAAGAACAGCTGCCTCACACCAAGAAATCAAGCAACAAACAAAAGACAAAGGGCAAAAAAATAACAGCTCCAGTCTTCAAAGTCTTTTCATATATCCAGGTCGAGCTTAAAGAAGGTTAACAAGGTTAACAAGGGCTTCCAGGCAGAATAAAATTTTGCAGTTGAGACACAGAGGGAAAACCTAATTTTTTCAAGGTGGAGAAAGTATCTCACATCCCTTACCCAGTGAGTGAAGCATGTAATATTCTTTCTTTTTCTTATTAATTGAACATTCAAAATAACAGCTGACTCCCTATATTACATATACATTTTAAAAACGGACTCCCATTGACCCTTGACCCCATTGACCCCAGAAGCTGATGTTGATCCTCTGCTCTGTTTAATGCTGCATGTTGTTCCACATGGATGCAGCTGTAACAGCTGTGCATTTCAATATTGCAGGGATCTCTTCCCCTCCCATCGTATTAATTACTCAAAGTTCCAGCATCCAGTTCAAGCTGCCCAGTGTAGCTCAGAGTGTTATTTTAATTTAGCAGGGCTCTGTTATATCCGTCTCCACCATTTCTTTTTCCACTCAGGAAGCCCAGGTCTGAATCAGCTGCAGGCCAGATGTTAAAGAGCATGCAGAGCCTGCAATGGAAAGGTGGCTACCTCACCTCGCATGCCTCCTCACTGAGTCTTAACTATGATCTCCTATTTCCTGACTCTTGTTGATTCTCCTATGATTCTACTAATGTCTCCCTCATAGCAATAATTCAGAGCCCTGACACTAACACTTCCCAGACATACTGTAAACCCTGTTCACCTGCACCCGAAAAGACTGCAGGATTTGGGTGACCTAATGAATTCCTACAACTATACGGTAAGACACTTTTGGGAATCTTGCGGATCCTGCAGGCCTTCACAGCAGGACAAAGCAAGTTGAAAATAAAACTTGTAACTTGCAAGAAGGATTCAGCAGCATAAATTCAACAAGATTTCTGTGTCTCACTGGAGTTTTTGTAGGAATTGCACAGGGTGTGCCTGTGTGGACAGCTAAATTTGGAGATTCACTGGAAATTACAGACAAAAGTTGCCTCCATGTTTTCTGAAAGTGACTTCAAATGATGAAATCAACAAGAATGAAAACCTGTGTGCTAGAAGAAGAAAAAGGTGGTCCATTCAACTTTTTGTACCTAGCAAAGACAACTTTAAGGGGTACGAAAACTGGCACAACAGTGTAAACCACTTCAGAAGGACTGATCTCAGAGCATAGACTCAAATGTGTTTCCTTTCCAGAGAAGTGCCACTATGGATCCAAGGAAAGTGAAATATGTTCTTACAGATATCCACTCACTCAAATGAAAAATGAACTAGTCACACAGATACACACATATTACTAGCGCACAGTTATACACACACATTCTAATATCAAGAATGTGGTACACACAGCTCAGTGTGAAAGGAAACTCACAGACTCGCACTCAAACCTCTGCCACCCCGCTCACCTCTTGCCCTTAAGCTCTGGAAGCTTTCCGGCCAAGATGGCTGCCAGCCCTATGGCTCCTTCAGTGTCCACTGTGGCTCTCTCATATTCCTGGAACCGCAGCATTGACAGTAGTGCATCCTGCTCACTGACAGAGACAGAAAGCAATGTAATATGAGCAGTAAAAGCTTAACAACTTATTACATAAGATTTTGGGGTTTCCTGCAACGTTTCTCACAATTGACTAACCCAGCAAAAGTGTCTGTTATGTGTCCTGTTCTTGGTTATACCCTGTGCTTCTGGGATTGTGGCACACTTTGCACTTTGTGCTTCAAAGTGGCTCTTTGGTGATGGATGAAGAGAAAATGAGATGGCTCAAAAGGGAATAACGAAGCTTCAGGGGCTGTCCCAGTGAAGGCAGCACGTCAGCATGCATAGGCAGTGTTTTCTTTACCTGACAGTGACAACTTTGTCCACCAACTTCTTGACCAGCTGAAAGGCCTCTTTTCCAAATGGGGGACCCACCAGATCTGAAAAGGAGAGCTTTTAAGGAGCGGGTTTACAAACAAGGGGTGCTCTGACCACTCCTACGCCAGGCTTTTCATACTTCAAAGGCTGTTGAGGCTTCAGACAACTGAAGAAGTGGACATCGGAGAGCGGCAGGGGTAACAACAAGGAAACAGGGAGACGCAGGCAGGCAAGCAGGAGGGAATGAGAGAAAAAGAAGCCAGAATGGTAATGTTGTGGTCCAGATGGAAGAGCGCCACCTACTGTTTCACCAACATCATCGGCAATTTCCAATCCTGGTTCTGGAGCAGGTGCAAAGAAGAAGGGAATGTCATGGGGTTTGCAAGGGCGAGCGCAGGACATGACAGAAACAGCACCAGTACCTCCATAGAGTTTCCTGTTAGGGGCGATGGGCTGCTCTTTGACAGGGTGGTCAATTTTAAGAGACTTCTGTAGAAGGGGGAAGTCTTCCGGCTCAACTCCCTGCGGCAGAGAGGGGACAGTTTCAGTGCCCTGTCCGCCTGCTAGAATGTCACACAAATATGACACCGTCCAGCAACACATCCTCTCCCCCTGCCTCTGTCACTGAAACAGCACACATAATGCACATCCAGAATGAACAACACTAGTACTGCCAAATTTGACCTCTGCAGCCACATAAATAAATGTGCACTACTCCCTTCTTAGTAGCACATAAGACCAAGTAAGCAAATACTTCTTTGCTTGTGCCTTTTACATTTTGTGGATGTACAGTATTTGTGTGCATATATACAGTATACTGGGGGTCATGGTGGAGCAGTGGTTATCATTGCTTCTTTGCAGAGTTGGGCCCTGGGTTCAGTTAATGGGGTACTATCCGCATGGAGTTTGTGTGTTTTCCCTATGATCACGTGGATTTGCTCCAGGTGCTCTGGTTTCCTCACACAGTCCAAAGACATTCTGCTAGGTTCGTTGGCTTCTGGGAAAATTGGGTGTGGTGTCAGTGTGTATCTGTGTCTGTGCCCAGGGTGTATCCTGCCTTGTGCCCATTGCTTATCAGGGTAGGCTACAGCTCCCCTGTGACCCTGTACTGGATACAATGGTTAGAAAATGGACAGTGTATATTCTATATATTGTCTTCATCTCAAAGTTGCTCATTTTAACATGACAGGACTTGTTTTGTCACATCCCTTTGTGAAACTACTCCATTACTGGGTCACCTGGACATACTGTAGGTTGGCTCCCTCCTTTCACCCCAGCCCCCCAACTCGATAGTGTGACACCCAACTCTATCCCGTCTCATAGCACTCAGACTGCCAGATAGGGGAATGTGCAAGAGTGTGGCTGGCCGCCAACTTGCAACTCACGATGACACTGATGCGGCGGTTGAGGTGTTTGAGCGCAGCTGCCGTTCCAGCCAGCAGCCGAGAGTGGCCCCCAGCGGGCACAACCACTGCATCCAGCTTGGGCACTTGCTCAAACATCTCCAAGCCCACAGTGCCTAGTCCTGCCAGGTACATGGCATTGTCAACCCTGATGGAAAGGAAGAGAGACAGATGGAGAGGTTAGGCTTGCTGTTCCAGCTTATTTCTATACCCCACAAGCCAGTGACACACAACAGCAGCAGAGGAGTTAGAGTGTTAGATAGGTTAGAAACCCTTCACCCTGCTTGGTAAGTTCTTTAAATAAATAGAACTGAAGAGTCTTAACATCTCACACCACTATTGCCCATATGTTACAATTCCTTCTTTGCTTATGCAATGTTTTACATTTTGGATCGCAATACTGAACTACTTATAATTTACAAAAGTGTCCCCCTCGACTTTCCGTGAGAGGAAATCAGACTACCTGTAAGCATTGTTTCCACTGTTGTGCTTGCAAGTGGACAGTGAAGAGGTGGTGTTAAGACACACTGGCACATTCAGAATTGCGCCTTGTAAAAGATAGCAAACCTTAAAAATGAAGCCCTGGTGGATACTCTTTTGTCCTGAGGAAGACACAAGATCTTTGAGGGGTCACTCACTCTTCCAGGTAGAGGTAGCCATTCTCCTGCGCCAGGCGCCGAGCGTGGCTTTGTGAGTCCTGGGGGGTGCTGCCATAGGATATCACCATGGCGCCGTACTCCCGGCACATCCTGAGCCGCGTCGGCGAGCTGTCGGCGGCCATGATAACGAACACGGGAATGTGCAGCTCGCAGGCCTGGTGTGCCACCGCCATGGCGAAGTTGCTGTCAGATGCCACAATCACCCCCTTTTTTTGCTGCTCCTGAATAGACACACACAAGCATGGCAGGATCACACTCACAGTGGTCATCGTTGCTTTAAGAGATGTTTAGGAACAAAGAACCCCTAAATAATAACTCATTGACTTTTCATCACCCTCCTAGTACCCCTTTGTGGGGTTGGGGGGCTTACCGATGAAATGCAGTGCTTTACAATTCTCTCACACAGTCTAGATAATGGCACATATGCCAGTATAAGATATACAGTGTAGGACTGACACCTGTTTCTGCCCCATTCTGTGATCCACGCCATATTGCAACTCATAGGAGTTGGAGATCATGACTCACTCTGGGTTTAAGAACTCTTGGGAGAGTGTTGGAGGCATGTGACAACAGGTCTTCATTGTGCCCAGGCAGTAACAGGGCTGTATACTCTCCGTACAGCAGTAGTGAAACAAATGATTATAAGAAGCTGGGCAGGTATAACAGAGAAAATAATTGGCATTCCAAAAGCATTGAAAAACTGAAAAATTGTAAAAATTACCCTAATTTTACTTGATCATTTTTAAATTTCCATGATGACTTTGTATTTTTCCAGAAATACAGTTCAAATTAAGCAGCTGTAAGAGACAGCAGTAAAACTGTTTTAAGTCTTTATAAGCCTCTATTTGTCTGGTCAGCCTGATCCAGCAGAGTACCAGTGAGGAAAGAACAGTACAGATGTCTCTCAGTGGTAGTGCTGTTCAATATGAAGTTCCAGAAAAGACAAAGTAACACATTCAAAACGGTAAGAATGTAATATCAGAAACCAGATATAATCTAAGGGTAGGGAAATGGGTTCATTGCTGCTGTTTTAATTTACAATGTTGGCATCAACAATTAGTCACGCAGCAGGATTTACATTGTGTTGGATGAAAACTATGCATCATTAGGCCTGATTGAAGCCTCTATTAGTGCCGGAATTGGAGAGTTCTGGCAGAGAACACTGCAATAAAAGGAGCTGGGCGCAGATGTAGTGAAGCATCCTCAGGGCATAAAGACTTTCTGGCAGCCTGTCCCTTTCCTGTCCCTTTCCTGTCTCGCTTCTAAATCACACTGTAAATTAACAGCAGGACTTCAACCTACTGCTATTTCAGCTGCTGCCTTTGAAGTATAACCAACAATGTAGGCTTGGGTGCAGAGTGAACACAGCTCAAACAACTTAAAATGTGAAAGAGGAGGAACAATATAACTGCTATCAATTCTTAGAGCGGAGATCTAATCCCATTTAAAGAAGTTTCTCAGATGGGGTTCCCAGAAAAGCTAGAAAATATCACAGCATTTTCATCCATCCATTTCCTAACCACATTATCCAGTACAGGGTTGTGGGGGAGCCAGAGCAGCAAAATCTGAAATGACTAATTATTTTAGTTTTGATATTCTCTCCGTCTGGTTGCCTGTTGTTCACCGTGACCCTGTGCAGGACACAGTATCTTGTGTCCTGCACCTTACAGTGCTCATTTGTCAGAATCATTTGTCACTTCCACATCACCAGTCCCACAGTGCCTTTGCAGGAGAGTTAATGCGAAGTGGAAGAGCGATGCCACTCTCACTGACAGCACTGCGAACTAAACCACTCCTGGAAAAGTCACTGATATCCCTGTTGCGTAATAAGGAAAGGATGCTGTGGACTGCTTGAGCTCACCCATCTCCACTGGTACTCATCATTATCCCTTATACTGGGGGTAGAAGGCTCTTTAATTTGTGGATTTTAACTGAGCCATTAGACCGCCAAACTATATTTTAGCAATAGTGTTAGCATATCATTCCATGGCAGACATACCATAATAGACAAGACATTGTTATTAATTAATGAGCGTTAAAATTTACTCTGGGGAGTTCTCCAGTAGCTCAACATTATAGAGCCTCATTCTGACCCTCTATAGCCCAGACATCACAATTATAACTTTATTATTATTATTAATTGGCTGACTCTTAAACAAAACAGCTCACATGTGTGCCTATTTATACTCCCAGGTCATTTACTGAAGCAGGTACTTTTCTTATGGGTTTTCTACTTTTCTGAAAAGGGTACTTCTTTTATGGGAAAGCTATTCTCCACCTGGGATTTGAATCTTTCCCACAATTCTGAGCCCTAACCACTCCTTTGCACGGCTGCCTCTTTTTATTCAGTGTTCAATTGCTCAAGATGTGAGTTGGCCAGAGTATCTTTGACACTTGAGGCTTGTTTGACACCTGTGGAAGCAGAGTGATATCACAGAAAAAGGCGTCACTTGTCCAGTTGAGTCTTGTTGCAACCTTCGGTGTGTGATTCTATTCTAAAATGTCTGTAATGCACTGTAGGCCTCACAGCATGTCAGATAGTGAGTGTCTCAATGGTGAACACGGCAGAACGCGTTATTCTTCACCATCCTACTTTCATTCCCTTGTACTAGTGCAGAGGGGTCATGGCAAGGGGGGAAGGGGGCAATAAACAGTTGGTTCAAAAACAGGAAGGAAGAAAGGAAAAATAACCTGTGATCGTCATTAAACAATGTATGCTTTAGGATTTGGGCTATGAAAGGGATGACAGCAATATGGACTGTGACGAAACAGTACCATTTGAAAAACTTTGAAGATCTATCACAACATTACAATCTGGTAAAAAAAAGATTTTTACAGGTATCTTCAAATCAAACATTATATAAAATGCTGGAGAAAGCAACCACATATAAAGGAAGGCATAAACTGCTTGGTAGTTTTACAGCAGGGTAATTTGAGAGAAATAAGATCAAAGCTGTACAGTAGTATCGAATAAATGAAAAAAGAGTCAACAGAATGGATTGAAATAAAATGGGAAAAATAAATTAATACAACAATTTCTGTAGATCAGTGGAATTACATATGCAGATCACAGACTTGGAGAGACTTCTGTTGGAGGAATCTGCCCAAAAGGCAGCAGTTCAGTGTTGGAGGTTATGTGGAGAGCAAGTTGTGACTCACTCACACATATTCTGGTCATGCCCAAAAATACAACAATACTGGAAATCTATGCATACAACCCTTAACAATATAGTAAATGTGGACATATAATTTGAATTTTCTGTTATGTATTGGGGTAATTTTGACTTTGATTGTATTGAATTGAAGGATAGACACATATTAGGGACTCTTCTAGCAGCTTGTAAAAAAGCAACCACAAGAAAATAGCTTATAAAAGAATCTCCAACACATGAACAATGGCCTAATGTTGTGAATGAAATCTAAATAATGGAAAACATAACTTTTTCTCTCAGGTTACAAGCAGAAAGTTTTAGGAAATACTGGGAAACATGGATTCATTTTATCTCCCCACTGAGACCCGATTTCAGGTTATGAGAGAATATACAGTAATATTTCTGTGTGGACTATTTTGTTATTTTTTGTGTTTCTCATTAAACAATTGTGTTTTCTTGTATAACCTCCCCATATCTGCTGGCATGATGTAAATACTTTATTTTATATGACAAAAATGAAAGATGAAGGCAAACATTTATTTTGCTGTTCTGGACACGTTCTGTTTGTAAATCTTTTCATCTTTAAATAAAAAACAATGTATGCCTAGATATACTGTAAGGAAATATGGGGGTTGTTTCCATAGAAAACAAACTGCTTGTTTCTGGTTTCTTGTTTTTGTTTGTGTTGCGTTGTTACCTGGCGCAGGGACGAGAGGAGGCACAGCACGCCGCGCTCCTTCACTGTGCCTGTGTACTGGAGGTACTCCTTCTTCAGGAAGATCTCTATGCCACACTGCTTGGACAGCCGGGAATACTGAAGGACAGAGAATTTTAGCTGTTGGTGCTGTTGCTCACAACTGACAACCCACTGAAGCTAAGCAGGTGTGAGCCTGGCCAGTACCTGGATGGGAGATCTCCTGGGAAAAACTAAGGTTGCCGCTGGAAGAGGTGTTAGTGGAGCCAGTTAGGGGGCACTCACACTGCTCTCTGTGTGGGTCCTAATACCCCAGTATAGCGATGGGGACACTATACTGTAAAAACAGTGCCATTCTCTGGATAAGAAGTAAAGTTGAAGTCCTGACTCTCCTTGGCCATTAAAAATCCCAGGGCATTTCTTGAAAATATTAGGGGTGTTACCTCAGTATCCTGGCCAAAGTTAACCTTGGCCTTTACCAATCATAGCCTTCTACTAATCCCCATTTATGAATTGGCTTCATTACTCTGTTCCCACCAGAATTATAACTGATGTGTGGGGAGCGTACTGGCACATTTTAGCTGCTGTCACATCATCCAGGTGTGTGCTCCACATTGGTGGTGTTACCACCAACACCTGTACCAATTTACCTGTACAGTGCTTTTAAGTGGAGTGTCCAGAAAAGAGCATAATAATTATTATTACTATTATTATTATTATGAATGCAGTGTTTTACTCACGGTGAATTATGAGTGAGTTATGTGCTCCATATTACAGTAGGGTTCTGAGTTTAACACAAACAGGACTACATAGTAGAAACAGGATGAGTAGGGCAAGACATGGTGGGAGTAGGACAGTTGGAAAAGGAGGGGCAGAGTGGCAGTACCGTGCAGGGAGTCTTCTGGACTCCAGACTGGATCTTGAGGGCAGCAGTGCTGATATCCTCAAAGCGGATGAACTCCGCAGGGGTCTCTTGGCTGGGCTGGCGCACCTTCTGAGTTGGAGGAATTGCTGGATCCCCCAGCAGGGGCTCAGGACGACCTACAATCTTCATCTCCAAGGTCTTGACATCCCCGTTCAGGTACTCCTCCTCCCCAAAGTCCTTCAGGCGCTCGGGGTGGATGGCGGTTGGACGGGGAGGTACATGGCCATTCCTAATTGGCCCTTCCCTGTGACTGCGGCCCTCACGGTGTGACGTGTCCTTTTGGTTGCCAGTGCCGCGCTGCCCTTCACTGCGGAGCAGATAGACAGGTCAGCAAAGCTTCTAACACTGGGTTTGCATGTTAGTTCTTCCCCAACCGTTTCTCTTACCGGTAACAGCATATTAATAGTCCACAGATCACGTTAAAATAAGTGCTGCAGACTCAATATTATGCAATGTCAACACCGGGGGAGAACAAGCAGTGATTTGTAACTTGAGGGGCATGGACTCAAGTGTAGACAATACTGTTATTGTGTTGAGTAAAAGGCTTAAAACACGGGTCTTAAACTCAGTTCCTGGAGGGACGTGTGTCTGGTTAGAGTTCCAATCTGAATATTCAATTAAACAGTTCTTTCTTACTCATAAAAGGGATTTTATTAATGTCTTTTAAAATTGAGTACCCAACACACTTAATTTGCTGAAGGAAGTCAATATTTACATGGTTATTGGAGCCTGATTGGAATGTAACAGTTATGCAGTTAATTAAATAATTAGGACCAGGAGACACTAGGTCTTCCAGGAGCTGAGTCTGAGACTCAGACTTTTGTAGTCAGCACCTCACTTTGGAACCTGAAGAAGGCCCAGTTGCTGAATTCCGTGGAATTAACCTTCTCTTGTTCCTTCGCAGGCCAATGCATGCTGACACGGTTCCCCACACAAACTCTTTAAACTTCTGCTCACTTGGTCATTTGTTCAATGTTTTCAGACTTGGTCCTTTCATCCTATATCTGCCTTCATCCGACGAAATTAAAGAGGAGTTGGACTGGGTCTGTGCAGTCACGAACCACACGCGAACGCTTGGATGTCACCGCATGCCCAAGAGCACCTCTCACCGTAGACATTCACGCAATAATTAATCAATTATCGTTCCACAAGATCTTCCCTTTCCATATCCTCTCACTCCACTCAGTCTCTGCTCACTACCAAGGATCCCTCTCTTGAGCTCAACCTTGGATACTTCTGGTACTAAACGGAACCTTTCTGGAAAAGACCTCCAACCGCCTCGCATAGGCCGCCGCTTCGCTATGGTTCCTGACATGTGCGCAGTGTGATACTGCTCTGTTTTGTATTTATGAGGAAGCTCACACTTATCTGTTCTTGAATTATAACCTCTCCTGCTTCCTTCAAGGAAAGATCATGTAAAGTGGATATAGGATGACATGGTGGTACAGTGGTCACATTACTGCCTTGCAGAGCTGGGGCCCAGGGTTCATTTCTGGACCCGAGGTGCTATTTGTGTGGAGTTTGTATATTCGAACTCCAAACACAGACTGGCAAGTTAATTGATTTCAGGGAAAATTGACCCTAGGTGTGAGTGTGTGCATGTCTGTGTTTGTGTCTATGCATCTATGCGTCTGCACTGCGATGGACTGGCGTCCCGTCCAGGGTGTATCCCGCATTGCTCCGTTGTTTGCTGGAATAGACTCTTGCTCCCCTATTTACCTCAATTGCATAAAGTGGTTAGAAAAGGGATGGATGGAATCAAGACTACTGTTGTGCATTGCCATCACCTGATTGAGTCTTCGAAGAACATCCATTTGCACACTTTGCATTCAGAATCAACCAGCTATTGATAAACCAATCCAACTGGAAGATGCTTCACATCAGTGGGCTCTAAAACTCTTCCTTCTACCTGCCATTCCCTCCGTACAGTAATAGGGCAATAGCCAGTGCACTCTCATGGGACCCACATACTCCATATCCCCATATCCTCCACTTCATTAGATAATGACTTGTTTCCATATGAGTAATACACAAGAAGAAAGCAAATTCTAACATAGCTTTCCCCTGAGTGTCAATTCAGCAATCTGGGGTGAGATATACTGTATATACAGTAAGACCAATCCATCCACACCCACACTGCATGTGAGAGCTTTCGTCTGAGCAAGAGAACTAGAGGGAGTTGAAATGGCAAAAGCGATTGGGTGCAATAAGATATTAATATCCTGCTGCCACCAAAAGAAGGAGCTTCTGAAGACTTACTAGACAAACCCAACCAAAATCACCACTTCATGGGCACAAGATACCCAGGTTCTACAATTTGAAGGCTTCACATGAAGGAAAATAAGTGTATGATTTTTTAAACTATTCAATTAAATATTACTTATCACTTTATCCCCTTTTTATTTTATTTCTGAAAAGAAAAATGTAACACAGTTCTTCTTTTGGCAAAATGAAGCCTGTCTGGAACTTGTCTTGAACATTGACTCTGCAGTAGTTGTCACACATAGGGTGGAGCGGTGGCTCTGTGGCTGAGGATTTATGCTTATGGCTGAAAGGTTGCCGGTTCAAATCCCATGGCCAAGGAATCCTACTCTGTTGGGCTCCTGAACAAGGCCCTTAACCCCAACCCCTCCAGGGGGGCTGTACAATGGCTGACCCTGCACTTTGACCCCAAGCTTCTCTTTCCCTGCCTGTGTGTCTCATGGAGAGCAAGCTGGGGTATGTGGAAAAGACCAGTTCCTAATGCAAGAAATTGTATATGGCTAATAAAGTGATCTTATCTTATCTATCGTATTCAACAATAAGAGGGCATGCCAATGTACCTTACATAAGGGAATGCCATGTAAAAAAGATTCCTACTTCTACAATTCCCACTAGGTGGAACGAGCCCAAGAAAGTCCATTTGACTGGACTTCCACTGCGTGTTGGAATTGACACAGACTTCCGCTCTCATTTTGTCTCTAAATCTTTTGTCTCTCCCTGGTTCGAAGTTTCTTCCTGTGAGCTGCTTTAGGTGAATCATTTTCTGATTCTCTGTCTTTCACTGGTTTTGTCTTTTTCCTTCTCATTTTCCTCTCTCCCAGCAGTAGCACACAGCAGGGGGAGGGGGAGGGGATGCAGTGTTATTTTACCTGAAAAAGAGCAGGAAGATGAGGGACAGAGCCAGCCGGAGGAGAAGGCCCACCAGATCTTGGAAGGGAAGTAAAAGAGGCTTTGGGATGATGGAGGAGGACTCCCGCTGGGCTGGGGAAGCTGCTGGATCACCATGGGACTGGAGAGGAGGAGGAGGTGGGGCTACAGGGTGCGTTACAGTAGCTTGGGCTAATGACTGTCTCTTCACAGCGGGCTGATCGGAGGGGTGAAAGTGAGGGGTGGCTGACCTTTGCCAGAAGGGATCGTTTTCCTCGCCATCAGAGCCTCTGGCTTCTCGAGGAGTAGCGCTGTTCTTGTAGCGTGAGTAGAGGAACTGGGCTGCAAAGTTCATCCTCAGACAGGTGTAGGCGGGTTGCAATATAGTCCCAGGCGGAGCGACGCTGTGTGTGAGACTCCTTCTGTATTCAGCACAGGGTCCGTTTGCGTCTCTGCCTGTGTGTTCCTTTCCCTCTGTCCCTGCAGGTGCTATTTAAAGCAGGATTACTCAGGGCACATGCCAACCAGTCCTTCCTGCCTCCCCCCACCCCAGAGCTATTTTTGAGCCCAGGCTTGGATTAAACTCCCATTGACGTGTGTTAATCAGACATGTTAAGGGGATGGGGAATTAATGTTTATCTAAGGAGCATGATCTTGGGTCCTGAGGAACAGACAGATACTGGGAGATCACATCGCTGCCTGCTTTCAGCCCCTACGGCAAATAACCGAGGGATCGTCCTCAGTGCTTTAAAGAAATTCCCTCTAATTGTGATTAGGCGTGTGTGAGGCTATGTAAAGAGAGACTCACTGTTTACCATACACTGTCAAGCAATTGGCTCACAGAATGTCCTTGGCTCTAAGTGGTACAAGCTCTCCCCCTTTAAGATTCTTTAATATCTTTGTACTACTGACAGGCATAAATATCACATGGTATAGAAATGATCTGCAGTGGTGTACAGGTCTTGTGTATTTTGAGTATTTTAGAGGTATAAGTGAAGCAGAGTTCTCACTTTCATTGTGCGGTCAGAAAGAACACCTTACTGTTATGAATTAGGATTGATTTGTACAACGATAACATGTCTTTCTCTGTCACTTATTGTATAGTAAATCTGAACACAGCACTTCAGAAAACAGCAATAGGCATTTCTGACAGCATCTAAATTCACAGGAATCAGCTACTGGGAGAGTCCCTAAGACAGAAATGCAAACATTTCTGATAATTCTGCTCTCAATATTATCCCTGTTATTCCTGTTTCCCAGTATAGAACCCTCAGATCTGAAAGTTCATAACAGCTCTTCAGTCATGTTCTAGCCAGCAGTGCTGGCACAAAAACAAACTTATCACAATGCTATGCATAAAATGGAGCAAGCTCAAACAGCAGAGGATCTGATACAAGTCATTTTTCAGAAGGATACTATTTGGGGCATAGAAGTACCATGGGAAAAATGGTGAACATCACTATTTCTGAGTTCTGTATTTGTTAGCACTTCAGAATCACCTATGTGTGCAAGTCAGTGTTCTATATATTACACATTTTAACATTTAATCAAAACCATGTATCTCAAAACACAGGGAATATTATAAATGGACCTCCAGCCACACCAGCAATGGCAAAGGACTGTTACATGTGTATAAAATATCCGGGCTGCTCACTTCAGTTCTGGTCTGGTCGTAAGCACAACTTTAATCACGCAGATGTTGGATCCATACCTCGAGTCACTGCACATGGAGCCTATGTGATGAATAATCAAGATTAATCAACATCGGGCCTCTTCTATTAGTGTCACTGTCAAATCCAGAGTGTCAAAAATGGCTAATCTGCTATTACCTGTTGTAGTTACTGTCAAATAAGGAAAAATGGTTTGATTTCTTGTATGAACATTCTGTTACAGCCTAGCAAATGTTAAACCTTCTCCATTTTTCTGGGCCATATATACAGTATATATGCGTTAAGTACCTCCTACGCCATTCATTTAAGTCCCTTATGCAAAATCACAAATTAAGCCTGTGCCCTGTATAAGAGTTCTTGACTTGTTTTTCTCACACTTAGGATCATATGCTTTAAAGGTCGGGTTTGGACACATCACTGTGGAGACTCATGAAATGCACCGACATAAACTGTTTCCAAAGTTGCTGTAGTGCAGTATACCACATGATTCCCTGTTTTCTGAAGGGGTGGTGAACTACAGCTCATTTCCTTTAGCATAAAAGTTTCCAGAAAAAGGAAATGTCTCAACTAAGTGATTTTGCAAGTCTTCATTTGTCGATGAAAGGATCCTGCTTGCTGTGATTCTCACAGACAATAACTCCACCCATAGCTCAGCACCCACAACAGACAAATCAGCTACCTCCCCAAGAAGATATACAGTACAGCCACTGGGTGGAAGCCACAAATATTATCTTCAGTATTTAGCCCTTGATTGTGTTAAATTTAGGAAAAAAGTTGCACCTTTTAGTATTGTGCTTAATGTTGCATAATAAATATACATAAATACATATATATATTTCTTCTAAAGTTCATTTTAGAATATCCAAAATTATCTCAAAGGTAAAATTAACATGGTCAGTGAGTGCTGTATCTTTAAGGGTAGCAAACATATAGAAAATATTCTGTTACCAAAAGGCAGACTGTCAGTTAATTCTCATCATACTCTTTAGCTCATTTTTTCCCTGTAATAACTATTATCCCAGCACATTTAGGTACTTCACCTTGTCTCTTAAATCTTATAGTTAGGACTTCAGGTCAGAAATGAGAAATTTAAAATGTATTTCATGACAAGTTCATTACTATCATTTGCGAATTTGGAGCGAATGATTTAAATGCCTACATTTTTTAAAACATCTCATGGTTTCTTTGAAGTCTTGAGAGGGCTGAAACGGGCCAAAGATTTTGCTTATTCTCTGCAGGGCAGTAAGAAAAGGAAAATATATGATGCTGTGCCAAAACATGCAACTTTCACAAACAAATCTATTCATCAAGATGTGAAATGTGAAACACCTTTTTGTGATTAAATTAGCTTCTTTTGACTGAAAATCTTTTAACCATTTATGTCACCTTTCAACCAACAAGTTGGTTTATAAATGGTGTTCATAAATTTTGTAGGCTACATCCACATTTAGAAAAATAGAAAAGTAATAGCCAATTAGTACATCTGTAGATACATGCTTTAAGTAGGATCAATTACATTTTCCTCAATGTGAAACAGTTTGTCTCTTACCTTCGAACAGTACCTCTTAACATTCATCTCCTGGAGAGAGGAGAAGCTATTTTTTAACTTTACTGCAAACTTGTAAAGGGAATTTTAGTTGTTCTGTCAGTTAAATGAAAGTTCGAAGATACTGCAGCATTTTTTATTATCTGGAGTAAAATGCTTTGAAAGTAAAGCAAGTATGGCACTAAGCTCTTGGCGCACACACCAGAATACCACTCAAGGAAGGAGAGTCCACACTGTTTTAACACCTTTTGTAATTAAGCTGCCGTATTAAGCTGTAGGCTGGATGTGAAAACGGGCCTTCAGGACTTAAGCACAGATGGGACAACACTGTGCCAACCTGCTTTACTCCAAATTCATTACATGAGATATACACCTATTACAACCGAGAAGCTGCTCTGTTCTTGTCTATCGAACGTCTAGGACACTTTCCTGGCACCTGTGTCCCCTGGAGAGGTCAGTGAAGGATGGCGCTTCTGCCCGTGCAGTGGTGTCCACTGGGAGGCCAGCGCAGCAGTTCCCCCTCCCCCTGCGGAGCTCCAGAGCTGCCAGTCACACACGACAGCACTTGACAGTGAGCTCGAGAGGCCAGCCAGGGCCCACCCCGCTCCTGAAAGCACTCTGAGTGTGACTCGTGTCTGGTGCTGCTCTGATACTGTGTGTGAGGGGTTTTACTTTGGTGTGTGCTTTGTTTAAGTGACGTGAGTGCTCATCCAATCTATTGTTTGTCCATATGTGTGCACAAACGACATGTGAATGTGCTGGTCAGTATGTATGTGATGCGTACTGGTCCGTGTTTGGAAATTGCTCATAATTAAGCACCATCCCAGGATTCAGGGGCATTTATCTCTATACATAGGCAATTTGGTTGCAATGTTACAGTTCATATTTAGCTTAAAGGTTAAACATTAAACATTTAATAGCTAGTAAATTGCAACATTGTTTGCTGTCATGGTATCCTTGTTGCTTTCAATATACAGTACATATAGAAAAGATTATTTGTCTTGGGTTTTCACAACACTATCTATGCAGCCTTCTTAGTACTCTCAAAAAGCGGCTCTTCAGTTAACTGTCCAATTACATTAATGGGATTAAACTGAATCAAGATCCTGTGTGAAAGATTAGTATGGCTCTAGTAAACTGCTTTCTCTAGCAGTCAAAGTTATGTGGTCCAAGTAAGAAGTAAAAAAAACAACAACAGTGTTTTAGCATTTAAGAGATTTCAATCCCATTACAAGCAGAAAATGAATATGACCGACTGTTTTCATACATGAGCCAAGATAAAAGAGATACTCTTCTATTTAGTAACAGTTTGTCAGTCTGTTTTAACTTAGAATGGCTTGGCAGGCAGGGTGCCATTTCTCATCAACCTGGGAGGCCTGTGCTTGCCGTACTCTTCTTTGCCAATGCAATGCTCCACACAACTTTACTTCCATGTGATGTACAAAATAAAATATGATTGACAAAAAAATGGAAACACCAATGTAAAGTTACACTACTTAATTGGGCACTGGGCCAAAAGATACGGACAGTCCGGAATTCTGCAGCAGGAGTGTGGCACAATTCTTCCATGAGAAGGTCAATCAACCTACAGTTGTTTGATGGATGTGGAAAACTGTGTCTCAGGTGTTGTTCGAGAATATCCCATGAATACTCAATTGGGTTCAGATCTGATGGCAGAACATCAGGGTCTGTGGATGGAGGCAGTCATTCTGGAAGACATCCTCGCTGGCAGGAAAAAACTGCAGGGACATGGGATGAAGATGTTCACTCTGTACCACAAAGTAGGGATTAGCAATGGTCTTGCCTTCTAAGGGAATAAAAATACTCTAACCATGCCAGGAAAATGTGCACCAGTACATTGTGAACTACCAGAACCCTTCACTGTTGGAACTAAGCACTCGGTCATTTTGATTGACACATGTACAACATATTTGTTTGTTCATTCCATATCACTTTCCTCCACTGCCTGGCAGTCCATTGCCCATGCTCTTTGCACCAATGGACTCGCACACAAGGATTACGTGGTGTGGTGAGAGATTTGTGCTCTGCAACCGACCAGAGCATTCTGCCATTTTTACCCTTGGAGTGACATGCTGACATCACCTCAGATACTGCTGCTCATGCCACAGCAGCAAGTTGAGCTGTCTTGGCCACTGAAGCTCCTGCACCCCTATAATCTCCTTTCTTTCAAAGCCACTAAGGGTTTCCTCTTGCAGCCATGCCAGCCATAATTACAAGCACACAGCATTTT